AAAATAAATTTTAAAAAGGCGTTCTATCCCACAGAACCCTAGCTCTTATCTAGTACTCCAACTTAGAAATTTAGATTTCCAATGTCCCATGGGAGTAAACTGGCTGATGAAATAAGTAACCAACCTTTGATCTAGGCCACTTTCACCAAAGTCCATTTCGAATTCATTGTATTAGTCGTCGTATCAAAATCATTACTTTTTAGTATTTAAAGTTGTTTATAAACAAGTTTTAAAGAAAGCAACTAACTTATATAAACATTCTAAATGTTATAAAACAACCTATTTCTTAAAAAAAAAAAAAAATTTAAAAGAGAAGTTATGTACATATAGGAAATTAAAGGGCAAATTTTGCAATAATATTTAAAAAAGAGTTTTTTAATTTTTGTTCTAATTAAAGTTATTTTTTATTCATAAATTTATATAAAATATATAAATTAATATTAATTTTAATATTATTATTACATGTATAAATTTAATTAAATAATTAATAAATTTAATATTAAATTTAATTTTTTAATATAAATTTATTATAAAAAATATATTTATTATATTTTTAATGTAATTCCTAAATTAGAAAAACCAGGCTATGCACCTAGTGAGCAGCACACAAAACAGCAAGGCATGCTTTAGTCCCAGAGACAATTATGCATTATATTATATCTTCTTTTTGACCGGTAAGAATATTATATGTTTCACCTTTTTGACTGGTGAGAAGAAGAAATTTCAATGCAAAACAAAGATATTTGAAAGTTTTTTCGGTGCGCTTCATGTGCAAAAAGAGAGACATGTAGTGAATAATTTGAACAGGTTTACTAATAACTAATCTTATTTTCCAAGTTCATAGATCAGCAATAGATCAGCAATCCCAATATACCTGTTCTGATGTATGAATAACAACTTTATTTTGTATATAGATTATGAATACTCGTTATACTTTATTAAATAAAAAATTTTAATTTATGCTCTAAAAAGGTGTAATTATTACATTTTTTATTATTAATTTGTATAAAAAAAATAAAAATTAATTTAAGTTTTATTAACTATTTAATTAAATTATTCCACGTGACATTAATATTAAAAATAAGATTTATTTTTGTAATTTTTTTATATAAGTTAATGGTAAAATAATACAATAAATATATTTTTAAATTGTATTTTAAAAATACATATTAGAAAAATCCTTAAATAAAATATCTTATTTTGCTCTTTTTTAAAAAAAGAAAAAAGAAAAAAAAGAAAGCCTGATCTTATTTTTCAACCTTCGTTTTTTATATTTTTTATTAGTGAATCATTTACCGATGAGGCCTTAGGTCACAACTTTAATTGTAAATTCTACTCCCACGAAAATTAGGTTTTGTCTAATATTTTATTAAGTTTTATAAGAAAATCCACCATTGTTTGGATATCGCAAAAATACTCATCACTATATATACTGCCCTTTATTAATGGGTTTGGGGTACCCATGTACTCCCTTTTTTTCAATAAATATTATTTTTGTTGTTCAAAAAAAAATATATATGGCCATCCACAGAGAGAGAGAGAGAGAGAGAAAAGAAAGAAGAAGAAGAAGAAGAAGAAGAAGAAAACCAAAGACTTGGTATATGAGATCTTTATTCCAATCGTAAGAAAGGTGAAAGGACTTTCAAGTGCTAGTTTTTGTGTTTAGTAAATTTTTATGA